GTGGCAGCCACGTATCGGTAGGCGAAGTGTAGGGCGACTCCCCACTAGATGGAGGGACGACCTGGTAAGACATGCAGAAAGTCGATGGATGCAGGTGGCTCAGGACCGTGCTTCGTGGCATTCCTTGGGGGAGGGGAGGCCTATGTTCAGCAGTGGACTTGTGAAGGGCTGTATAGATGATAATGATGAAGTAAGTATAGCTTGTTTTAAAATAATTTCGTTATCAATTGTGGGTTAAAGGTTAAATTAATACACTTTAGTTGGTTTTGCTTGTTTTATTTCAATCATTTGCTCTTACAAAATATGTTCAATGCAAAGGAACATGACTCGTCACAATAAAACATGCTTCTTAGTACCATTTTGTTTTTATTTATATATTATTTTAGTTTCCATTCAGCATAACTATAAATAATGCGGGTCACATAAAATGCTCATAGCACTATATAGAAACTTGCAAACACTTTGTAACAAAATAGATACATAACTTCCCTCTATGTCTTTTCTCTGCGAGAAATGCTTTTACACTATTATCATAGTTATGCCAAACCTCACACCATAACACAACGAAGCAACATGTCCCTTAAAAATATTCTTTCTTACCAACAATTTCATTTCTTTTTTTTACATTTTATGAAGTTATTTTTTTGCATTTCGTATTCCTAGGCTACCTAACTAAATTTTGTCTATACTATGCTACTATCTAGACTAGTCTGCTGGGTAGAACACCACTCTATATTAATACACATTGGACAAGTACAATCGTATCGACATTTCTGAGAGTTTTTTTTTTTCAATTAATTTTCTTTCTTTACACTTAGTCAACTACATAACAAAAGAGGTGAAAGCAAACTTGTTCAACCGAAACTTATCTCAAAAATGTGTTCACTAATTTTCTTAGATTTTCTTATGAGCTAGGGCGAGTGCGGCGCATGCGCACTGCTTGCCGACTTCAGTCCATTCAAATTAAATTATTTAATAAACTAACAAAGGAAACTATCCTAGAGTCGGCAGGAGGCGTGCACGCCCCGCATCGCCACCAAATATATTATTCTAGGGCCCTATTCTATTTAATCTTAGCGTCAAAACATTTTTTTACTATTCTAACCTATCTATAATTAAGCCTAGTTAACTTATATCTAGCCTTCAATTCGACACCAATCCTAAATCTCCAAATTTCACTTTCAAGACAATCCGCACGATCACTTAAATTAAATGACTTAATTTAAAACATTTACTTAACACTTCAACTCTATTCCTCGACATGATTTTTTTAAATTTAAAATTTTGGTTTTCGGAAATTGGTTCCCCAATATGCATTTTGTGCTCTTGTTATCGTTTTATAGTTCTCACTATATTTTTTTTAATGAAACGTCGCCCATAATCTCATTGTAAGGAATTCATCACACATGTCAAGATTGTTGAAGTGAGTTTAACTAGGAACATCTACAATTTTATTTTCAAGTTCAATTTTTACATCATGTGTGAAAAATGCAACGATTAGACAGCCACATTATCTTGTTTCAAGTTGTTAATACAAAATACATTAATCATTACGACTACTACGTTACGAACACGGTAAGTTCTCTATTACCTGTAAAAATATCTTGTAAAGCGTACGCAGCTACAATATTGTATCTGCATCTGTTCATTATTTAAACAAAGCTGAAGGCACTACCATGAAATCAATTTTATTGCTTATAATGGAAGGAAAGCATTAGAAAAATAATTTCTAGCTGTATTATTTTCGCCTTTGACGGTGTAATCACTACTTTATCCGCTACAGGATCGTGCCCAACTATCTAAGCTACAAATTGCTTTGAAATAAATCACGTTCACTTGTCCAGATCAATAACATTACTTGGTATTTACGGGAACATTGTTTTACTTTGGAATGAAATAAACACGATTACTCTAATATAAAGGTAAGACAAAATATTTTGGTATACTTTGTGAATGTTCACTAACGATTGTTAGAAAATAGGAGCATATTTATACATATAAAATATAGGTATATATTAGTAAAATGAATTCATGTTTACAATACTTTGACATTGATTTTAAACGAAAATATAAGCGGAAATATCTATCGGAAGACTGCTTTAACAGGAAGCCACTGTGTACGTTGAACACTAAACGATCAAATTACTTAACTAAGTACCAAACGAGGTTGTTGGTACATTGCACTTCGTGGTTACTAAATTTTCACAAGAAGTAAAGGCGGTTATTACATCAGTTCCATAAATTTGGCTTGATCATGAATTATACGAGTATAAAACAGATCTACGGATTATTGGGGTTCAGTTCTGTTCAGTCGAAAGTAATACTAATAAAAATCTCACTTTTCATTTGCCTTTATGACACGCGGGTAGAATGCGAATGCATGACACGAGTTTTTTTTCTTTTAATTGTGGCGAACGACCGCGTGTCCTTTGTTGAAGGTAAATATGCCTTTATATTTAAATTTATTTTGCGATTATGTATCATGAACTTTACGAATGTCGTTTTTTATGAAATTCTAAAGCTATTATTTCGAAAAAGTAATTTTATTCATTCACGAAACAACAGTACAATCTCAGCTTCACCCTGATTGTAAAACAAACGTAAACAGTTCTACTCGATTGTTCAATCTATGTTTTTCATTCAAAACCTGTAATAAGCTAATCTCAGTTCCTGTATTTTAATATCGTCGGTACACAGGTTTTGAATAAAGAGCTTGTCGCTTAGTCGTCAGTTAAAATACAGTTAATATATCAAACATTTATCTAGTCTTCAGTCCCTGAGTTGTATAAATAGTTTCCTACATCTTACTCGATTTTAATGATTTGTATACTTTGGTTCTGATGAAACTCTTGACGTGCCAAAATAGAATTAAACAGTTGCGATATAGTAGGTTTTACTCGTACCCATCAACAATGTATATACATGTATACATATACATATCCATGTATAATTTATATATATTCAATATAAAAATATGAAATTTCATATAAAGTCATAAAGTGTACCCAAAACCTACGTGATGGTACAAAATGTGCTCGATTACGCCAAAATGGCACTGACACATCGGATTTCGAATCCTTCACAATTTATAATGTGGAAATCAATCGTGGAATTTTTGTTTGAAGTTCTCTAGTGGAATGTGCCGACTGCCTAAAAATAACAACTACGCTTCATTCAGTACATGATTCTCAAAAAAGGATCACTTCATTATTCATGTTCAAACATGAGTTTTCAACGTACAAAAATTGTATAGACTCGTAAAATGTATAAATAGACTTTAAATACAACTGCTTATTGCTAAACGTTACCGTATCATCCGCACTGCTGCATCACACGAGAACAGATTTCACCGTTGGAACTCAACCACCTGCTCAGCAAGTCGTACACGTGTGAGGCCACCCTGCCGGGCTCCCTAAGGGCTGCTACTATTTTCAACGCTATATTTGTGTCAATTAAAACATGGACAGGGAAATAATTTATTGGAAGTTTACGGTATACAATTCAGTCTGAATGGTTTGGCAACGACGTTATCAATAAGGAAAGAGTATTTGTTTTTGAGTAAACATACTTCTTAATTTCAAAAATATAATATACCAAGAAGCCTCTATTTTGAATCCGATCAAGCAACACGGCTAAGCTACGTGTACAACATAGTTGAGATCTGTGGATATGCGACATTGTCTTTTAAATTTGCGTTTAGATTGTTAGGTAGGTAGCAAGTTTTAAGACTTGGCGGCCGAGATGTACAGGCACATAAAATTCGAAAGTTATTACACAGAGATAATAAATACGAATACTTTGAAATGCTTTAAAATTAGGTACTTGCGATCCATGGAAGACTGCACCATTAGTAGTATTTTAATGTAGGTAATACTGTATTATTCATTGATATAAAACAATTTTCAAATAAAACGATTAAAGCACCATTCCAAACAATTTTGGACATACATACATACATAATTCCATTCACTTTCTCCGCAGCTGTTTTAAACATAAATATCAACTTATCGTTTACCTTATCATTCCCCAAGTGATTACATTTTGTTCATACTTTGCCATTTAACTACAACGTGACATTATAAAGACAAACTTTTCTGTATTTTAAAAATACTTATATCTCAAAAGAAGATTCTAAATCTTCCCAATAATTTTATGCACAAGATCAAATCGGTGTCTTTATCTTTCCTAATCATAACATACATAAGTCGTTTCTTTAGCCTTTACATTTTCGTTAGTAGATATAAACTTTTTCAACATGATATGACCTTTTCCAAATATTATATCTTTTCATCCTCTGCCATTTTAGATATTGCTCTTTCTATCCCCGAAATTATAAATTTACAAAAATTAATATTTTGAATCTCTATCAACCTAAAACATAAAGAAATACGGATTCCACGCATTGTTTATAAGCATTAATGTTTCATGTGTTTGTTACGTAATTTAAAATTCCTGTTATCTTACAATATATGACACTGAATCAAAAATAAAAATGTTTATTCCCGTTCCGAGGATAAATCTAAACTTTAAAATTTAATCGTGAAATTATACTATACTAAAATAAATACCTAACTACCTTAAATAATCTTGTCAACGTGTTTAAAACCTGCGCCTAAATCTTAGATTTTCATAAAACAATAATAAAATTATAATGTCAAAACACATTTAAAATTGCAGCTATATTCTATTATACATCAAATCCTTTCCTCGAACCGTCAAAAGACCTCATCAAAACATCACAGCGAATCGAACGTCCAGCATAAAGCTAAGAGGACCGGGGACAAAGCCCGCCGAGAAAATAAATAGCCGAGGCGATAGGTGCTGAGTAAAATTAGGCTTAAAATCTAGGCGCCGGCGACGATAGAGCGCCGCGGAGCAGAGCTTTCGATGAAGTCTACAACGGCCGCAAATTAAAACTAAAACAAATTAACATCGTAAAAAGTCACAGTTGCTTTGATTTTTGGCTCGTGTACAGCATGTATTATAACGTGGCTTATGGTCTACTTGGGTGGAGGGTAGGGTTGGTAGGCCTCGTCGGGTGACGCCGCCGTCGAAGCGTGCTCGCTCTCCATCGGCATCTGGATGATCGGCGGCGTGGGGCCCGCGAAGAACTGGTACGGATGCGACGGGAAATACTGAAACGCCATAATGCATTCGTTATTACTTCAGTGCAATAATTATTCACATTTAATATTCAAAGCGAACATAATTATTTAAACGGCGATTAGATTTAAGCAAGGGGACAGGTTTTGAACTTCTTAAGAGCGTTCAATTTGACAAGTTTAAGACAACTCACGTATAATTCATTTTCCGGCCTTAAGCTGTCCCAGTTTACCTGGAAAAGGAAAAGAATTCAGTCATTTGTTATTTATTTTATTTTGACTGAATATTCCTCTTTGATCAAAATCAAAGTCGGCCGTTTTTGTTTCTTCGTTTCCAACGTTAGATTGAACCGCTTACTAACAACAGTACAGTACAGTACAACAGTATTGTGTTAAATGCGAAATATTTGATTTTCGTAATATTCAAAATAAAATATTTCGTTTACAATTAAGAAAATATAAGTGTGTTTACATTGTGAATTCGCTGATTATCCAAAATACTTTTGTAATATTCATCAATTGTTATTTAAAGGTTATTTAAGGGTTATTTAAAGGATTGTTATTAAAAGGTAAAGGACCTTTAACCCCGAGAAAGAGAAATAGTAAGGGACTTTAAATTTTTCTCAAATTGTTACTTGATATAAATTAGTTACCGGTCTATAATTTCATTTACGTGTCAATGTTTGTAGTAGTTTTCCCGACGAATTATGATTTGCTACATTTTAGACGCTACTTTCAACCGACCTCAAAAAAGGAGGAGGTTCTCAATTTGATTGTATGTTTTTTATGTTTGTTACCTCATAACTTTTTTCTATGTGAATCAATGTTGATGATTCTTTTTTTATTTAAAAACTGGAGAGATATTATCGTACAATAGTAGTCTGCTATTATCACCTTTTTATTACGGTTATTATAAATACGATCTTTGTTAGATAGGCCTCAATAGCCGACAGGCTTTAATACCCGCAGGTACCTTACAATAAAACAAGAGCAACAATCCGCCTGCGGTCAAGTTCTCGCCAAAACCCTTTCACTCATACAAACAGATAATATAGTGTGTTGATTGACACTCACGTATTGGCTGGGCACGGAGTCGATGGGTATGTGGGCGGGGTGCGGCGCGTGCGCAGCGTGCGCGGCGTGCGCGTGGTGCGGCGCGTGCGCGGGCGGCAGCAGCGCGGCGTACGGCGTGAGCCAGGCGGCCGGGTGCGCGTGCAGCTGCGGGTGGTACGCCACGCCGTACACGCCGCCGCCGCGGTACACGCCCGCGCACTCGCCCGCGCCCGCCGCGCCCACGCCGCCGGCGTACACGCCGCTCACGCTCATCGCCTGGAACCACACCGTCTGCTCAACGTCTCCACAGATCTCGTATACTCGCACATCGGCTTATGATATACAAATACAAAAAGAGAATTGTTAGTTTTCACAGCCGTTACATATTTTTTTTATAAGATAAGGGTGATACGCGAGCACACAGTCCACCTGATGGTATGTGGTTGCTGTGGCCCATAGACATCTACATCTATCCTCATTAATTTGCGAATCAAAATGCAGATGCGTTGTCAGCGGTGACGACTAAAATGGAATGCCTCTTTTCCGGTAAAAAAGGTCTCCGGTTCTCTACACTCACCATACGAAACACAGCAGCATTAAGTTGCTATTTTACACTGGTATTCTGTGAGAGCGTGGTCCTTCCCCGGTCGAGCCGACCCATTCGTGCTACAACTATACAATCAATATAGCTGCAGCATGGCTCCATCACGTTTAGACCACATTAACGACGTACATAACGACAAACAAATCAAATGTTGAAAAGAATTGATAGTTTCACAGCCATTGCATATAATATTTATCAGCTTTATGAAATCGTTGTTGAATATTGTGCACTTTGAAGAACAAGACAAATAACATATTTCTTCAGAGTTAAGTATGTATTTACACGACTGCCTCAAAATGAGGGTAATGTTTATCGAGACTATGTATGTATGGTTATTTCTTTGGCTGGATGGATTTTAAACAAATGAGGTGTCGTTAGATTTATCTTAATTGTGGGAGTGACATTGACTATATAATATTTATATATTGCATCTGCAAATACAAAAAAGTTAATGGAAGGTTTTTTTCAGTAAACATTTTAACGCAGTCGGGTTATTTTAATTACTGTTTTAACCATTAAGCATGTTGTTATTCTGGGCTGTGAGAATATAGTGTACGAGGAGCGTTCAATGTACGAAGGGAGGTCAGAATGTTCGCGGAATGGCGGGGTTGGCGAGGGTGAGCTTACTAATCGAGGTAGGCGCTAGTTGAGTGACTCATTGTTAGTATATATACCAAGTTTCAGCCTAATCGGGTGATTAGTTTTTGAGTTATCTACGAGTAAACAAGTCAATCGGGAAGAAATTAGCCACTATGGAGAAAATTGAATATCGCGCCGTCATTAAGTTTCTCATCAAACAAGGAAAGACACCTCAAACCATTTTTAAGAGATGTCAGCTATTTATGGGGCTCTGCTCCTGGGAAAACTATGATTTATAAATGGCACGCCCTTTTCAAAGAAGTGAGGGACTCCATTGAAGACGACCTCCGACCGGGACGGTAGATTGAGGCTACCACGCCAGAAATAATAGAAAAAAGTTGAAAAAATTCGGAAGATGCCCGGCTAAAGAAAAAGGAGCTTGCAGCATTAGTTGAAGTATCAGGAACAACCATTTTAAACATCCTACATCAACACCTTGGCATGACTAAAGTCTGTGCTAGATGGGTTCCGAGAATGCTTTCTGTGCATCACACGAGCGCGTCGAAAGTCGTCGCGAGTTTTTGGACCGCTGTGTCAGCAAAGGGAGAAAGTTGTGGATGAAACTTGGGTTCACCGTTATAAACCTGATTCAAAGCAAGAGCCGATGCAGTGGCATAAAAAGGCACACTCCACCCTAAGAAGTATAAGATGTCTCAATCGGCCGGAAAGATCATGACGACGATCTTTTGGGATACGGAAGTTATCCTTTTGATTGATTATAAAGAACGTGGTGTTTCCATAACGGGAGATTACTACGCTTCTATACTAGATCAAAGATAAAAGAAGCTATTAAAGAAAAACGGCGACGAAAGCTTACAAAAGGCGTGCTCCTTTTGAACGACAATGCGCCCGTTCACATAAGCCATGTTGCGACGGCTGCCATTCAGCGGTGCGGTTTGAACAACTGCGGCACCCACCCTACAGCCCAGACATGGCCCCAAGCGACTATTATATGTTTCTAAAAATGTAGACAGAACTGCGTGGGAAAGAATTTGGCGACGATGATGAAGTAAAGTCGGCAAAAATTCTATTTCCTTGAAAAAATATTCTAAAATAATTTAAAAAAAATGCTAATTTACAGCGGATTTGAGCACATTATCGTCAGCAAATAGTTTTCCCCGAAAGTCTTTTTAAGTTTGGAAATAAAAAGTAGTCACTAGGGACTAGATCTGGGCTGTATGATGGGTCGTTAATTTCCTTAAACCCGCAGTTTAGTACAGTAGCCTTGGGGAGCCGCGGCGTGTGCTCCGCAACCGCTGCGTTGTCATGAAAAGGCAACACTCCCTTGGTCAACTTTCAGTTTCTCTTTTCTTTTATTGCTTCTCTTAAACGGCGTAAAGTGGCCGAGTATTTGTCTGCGTTGATGTTTTCACCTTTTTTTGTGTACTCGATCAATAGTATTCCTTTGGAATCCAAAAACACTGTGGCCATGATTTTACCGGCCAATGGAGTGACTTTGGACTTCTTGGGCGGTCTGATACCTTTTTGCATAGGCTCCTGTTTACTTTCAGGGTCATAGTGGTGATGCCACCTTTCATCTCCTGTAACTATTCTATTGAAAACACTTCTTAGGTCGTCACCAGCTAGCTCTAAAAACTCCCTACAACAGTCAACCCGCAGTGAGCATTCGCGGCACCCATCTTGCACTGACTTTTCAGAGGTTGTGATAGTCATGCAATATGGTGTGTAAGGTACAAACGGATAGGTGAGACATTTCTACTAACATCTTAATTCTTTTTCGTGCATCTTCTAATACAAGTTTTTCAATAATTTTCATATTTTCTTCTGTAGCCGCTGAAATTTGGGTCATTTTCCATGCTTTCCTTGCCTCTTTTGAATTCAGTTGACTACTTCTGTACGGTTGATATTGAAGGAGCAGAGTCTTGGTAAACGGCCACCATTTCTTCATAGATGCTTTTTTGAGTTTTCTATGTTAAGTGACGAATTTAATCACCGCACGGTGTTCGATTTTTTTTCAACATTGTCGAGTTATTCCCGACTCATTCCCGTCGACTATGACCGAAGGTTACACAAGAAGAGTAATTAAGTTATCAAGGCGAAATTTCATATTTATACCCTCAGGTAGTGTCGTTAGTTAATGACTTTTTTTGATTAACCAACTTTATTAGCAAATCACCCTAATACCGAGAATACATTGAACGCCCCTCGTAAATAAACTGCTTTAGCTCCCTTCAGCTTTAACCAAATTCACGATCTGGCAGCACTTTGAGAAAATCGTGAGGGGTCTTAAAAGAGTCCACCGCGCTGTCTCAACATGATGTGTCGGCGAACTTCGCAATTTAAATAGTATCCGGTAAGACTTTTTGTACAAATTTCACGTATTATTTCCCGTGTCAGATTGTCAGTTAGACGTTGTTGTTGAATAAAAACATTTGTTTTCTCTCATTTAAATCTAGAGCGAATGAAAAATATAAAGCATTTATTAAAAATAATATATATTTTCTAGAGCAGCAATTTGTAAAATAAATGTCGAAATATCTTTATTTTCTACGTTTTTGTTATTTTGCAACATCCACAATTTGAAAACATCCACAACACAATAATAACACAGTACTTTTGTGACTATATATTTATATAGCTCCATGAATGTTGAAGATATGTTGAAGGTATGCCTACACGAAGAAAATAATGTTATTCAATGTAGTACTCGCGTAAATATAAAAAATCATAGTAATTGATTATTTTTTCTAAACTCATAGAGATTTACTCATTTTAAAATTAATATTGGCGAAGAAACGTGCATCCCATTTATCAATTTAGAAGCAGTGATAATAAACTTATTTCGTCTACTATCATCTATACAGGGTTATTTTGCAATAACCGGCCGAATTTGCAGAGAAGGTTCAGAATAAGTAATATAGGCAAACGGTGAAGAAAAATTAGTTAAAAAAAATAATAACTCTGTCCTTTTTAAAAGTATTCATTTCTGTCCTTTTTATCTTTTAAATTTAAAATGCGTGCTATGCATTATTTTAACTTTTATCGCACGCGCATCGCATTCTTATGGGTCGATCCGTAGGCAAAACGTTGTTTCCCATAAACCACATTCAATTTGGGATTATTTCAAATAAAAGTTGAAGCCTTATTTACTCATATTTTCAAAAAACTGAAATAACGGTATATCATTATATTTGAACTTAAGTTTAAAATTTGGCTATTTTTTTAAAAATAACCTGTGAGATCTCTGTAGTTAACTTGTTAGTTAACTGCTAAGTAGTTAACTGTATAGTAAAATAGTTAAGATTAAAAAAGTGTTCCTTAATTGCGGCGCTATAGTATTAGCAAAATTAGACATTTGCTTACTTTACATTATATACTTACTATACTCATTGCTTTAAATTTTAGTTTGTATATTTTTCGTTGGAATTAGGGATGGTCGATGTTGTAGAAACATCGATGATGACATCGATGTTGACATCGACAGCTCAACATCGATGTTCGATGTTTATCGTACTCAAAACATCGATGTTGGCCATTATCGATGTTTTTTTGCACATGTATTTAGTAGGTTAGAATTAGATGAATAAAAAAAAATTGTAATGTTGTTTATGGTTTATAATTAATGAAATAAAAATAATAATAAACAATGTAGTATAAAATATTAATTAAAAAAAAATTGGAAGAAGTTCACAAATATCTAATTCACTTGTTATATTGTCCAATATATTTGCAGATTGATTGAAGAAATAGGAATTTTGACAAAGAAGTACCTTTCAGTCTGTTTCTTTGTTGATAAAGAGTTGGGCCAGCTATTAAAAATAATTTAAAAATAAAATTTTGCACAACTGACCAAAAACTAAGGCTATATAAAGATAACTATATAAAGATAACTCATCGAACATCGATGATCATCGACCATCCCTAGTTGGAATTCTTTATAAAAAAGACTAGCTTAAAACTGAGACTACTTTTAATCTACTTTATGTAATAAGACGGAAAAATAATAATCTACAATATAATAAGAATAATCTATATAACCATGATCACGTAATGAGCAAGCGTCAACTCTGTCCTCTCCTTGAGGGAAATAAAAATAATATGTTTACTAAAGTGAATGTCAAAAATAGGGTTGTACCTGTGTGATGGATTCGTTGTTGTCCCGCCATACTCTGCCGTTGTTGTCATTTTGCTTATTATAAAGCGCCTTTTTCTTGTTCCCGCCGTCGGCAAACTTTACTAACAGGGGTTCTTTGGCGCCCGGTATAGAGTTGCCATTAAACATCTGAAAAAATGAAAAATTTACGTAACATATTACACTGGGTTATTCTATATTTTTGTTTTAACGGATTAGTTAGCTGAAGTGGCAGTGGGCCGGCCATATAGCTCGAAGAACCGACAACCGATGGGGAAGAAAGGTTCTCGAGTGGCAGCCTCGTACCGGTAGGCGAAGTGTAGGGCGACCCCCCACGAGATGGAGTGACGACCTGGTAAGACATGCAGGAAGTCGATGGATGCAGGTGGCTCAGGACCGTGCTTTGTGGCATTCCTTGGGGGAGGCCTATGTTCAGCAGTGGACTTATGAAAGGCTGTAATGATGATGATGATGATGATTCTATATTTTAAAATAACTACTTATTTCCTTATGACTAAGGGATAACTGGTTGAAAATCGCTTACAATAGAACAGATTACAACTGCCTTCACATTTAGCTCGATATTTATTGAATAGTTAATCATAATATATTTCTTTGTATTAGTATATAAACATTGTATGGTTCAATGCGTCTCGGACCCTTTTGACAAGACAAATTGTCGGTCTTTATGTTTGAATGTGTTGTTATCGTGCATCTAATCTGGTCTCACTTTTCATTTGATCGCAAAGCATGCCGTAGTTACAAACATTGGCTTTAAAATTTCATAGTATGCGAGGAAACTGGATTTGATCCCTGAAAATCTGTAGGTATTGTTTGTTACAATATAAAAATGGAGCAGTCGCGGTCAAATAAAAATACATTATTTTCTGCATTACAGCACTTGTATTGACTTAATCTTATGGTTTGGTAGCTGTGTTAATAATATTTTATGTAGATTCAATAAATTAAAATTATCACTACATAAACACTTAAGGCTCATTAGCGTATTAGGTAAGTACGTCAGTATTTGTATGGATATTATGGATACATCTGTCGCAGTTTTTAAATTTCGATTATATTTCAAGTTGCCACCGTGGCATGGTCGAAATCGACAAATAGATAAACGAATTTTTGAGACATTATTAGGTAAAGTTAAAACGCGGAGACTCACTTGAATTATCTGCTCGCACTTTTCTCTGGACTCCATTCTTGCGAAGCCGACACCTTTGCTATGGCCGTGTGTGTCGCGCAAGATCCGCGTGGACACAACCTGCCCGAACTTGGCCAGAAGCTGATCAACGTCATTCTCCTTGAAGTGTGGTGGTAGATTGGCCATATACAGGTTGGTGGGGTCTTGCTCCTGTTGCTGCAAACAGATGCCCCAAGACACAGATGAAGCAACCACTCCCAATAGTTCTTATATTCATTCAGAATAATAATTTAAAATGATCAACCAAGTTATTTCTTTTATTTGATTAAAAATTAAAATAAATTTTCAAATTTCCAGATATTTATAGCATCTTGACTTAGATATTAAATAATTTTTTTTGAATGATTATTTTTTAATTTTTATGAATTAATATTTATATTCAGAGAAATTTGCTTAACAACTCTTAAAAGCACGTAAGGTCGGTAAAAGAAGCAAGACATGATAAGTTTATTCTTCTCTAAATAAAGTAAATTTTAATGTGACAAAATGAAAGACATTTCGGAATATTATGTAATTGAAATTAGCTTTAAAGCCCGCATAGATAATCTAGACACTTAAGCCAGCTCTGACGTAAATCAGCAGTTAGAATCTAATATGCTATAATATAATAAGTATTATGTTTATTACGTAAGTGTTATCAACAACATGGGAATATATCAGCATAGAGATTATGAAGCTGGTTAAAGTCGCATACACACTAATTTAATATTGAAAGCATAGAAATACCCAGAGCCCAGTAGCGATAGTAAGTACATTGTTATGACGCTAAAGCAAACGATATAAGAGTCGACAGGGTGAAACAATGTCTCAAGTAAATTTAGTAAGCGGTATGCTGGCGCCGAACTGCGTACCATTGAGAGGAATTGCAAATACTTACAACGAATTAGTGTCTCGGTTGCCATACGAGCACACGAAAGTATCAGTTGGGTCGGTATCCAAAAACAAACTGACAAATTGTTATGAAACGATCATTAGCTTCGTTATCAACGTTGTTATTAATTATTTTATTATAACACTAAATTGAACCTACAAAATCTATACATGATCAATAGCCCATGTGGCTGTAGCAAGGAATGAGCATATTTTTAATTTTGTCTTCCACGAAAGGAAACGATAGAATACTAAAATATGCATTATAGCAAAATATGAATATTATAAAAAAATGTTAACGGTTAACGATTAATGTTAATATTACACGGCACATTATATAAAAAAGGTTTTATAAATTATTACTAAAGCTATAAGTAACGGTAGATGGAGTATAGGGATGGATGGGGGGATCAATATTTTGACTAGGGTTAATTATTTACTATGTAATATAATACATATTGTTTTATATGGGCTCCTACTTGATTTAATTTGTCATTGAGATAAATACGAGATATACAAAATTATAAAAATGAGCACAAAAAATTTATTTTTGGTGCTTTCAACTAAGAAATGAGCTAGATCATAGATTTCATAATTTATTATCAAGAAGAAAATGAAGAGTACCTAATGGGACTGTAAAAGGTGTATAGGTTTTTTTATGGCTTTGAAGTTCTTCCTCTCAAAAAATAATCAAAGCATTATGTATAAAATTGAAATATCTGGTAATGTATAGAAATAATAAACGTATTGGAAGTGAGGGCGGATTAGGATCAGGCGGTTAGTCATAATAGTATTACTTGCATGCACAACGTACACGGTTCAGTCTACGCAGGAACCAGATACCCACTTTAGCCATCTGGGCCTGAACACCTTTGGCTTGTAATCCTTTAACAGCTGCCTCCGCCGACGCGATCGTTTCGAAATCTACAAAACCATAACCTGCCAAGACAAAAGTGAAATTATTTTATAGTGCGACGTTCTTGAATAGTCCGTTAATTCTAAAACGTTTAAAAAGTCAAACGGGTCATGCTCTGTTATAGAGGATATCTAAATATACAAAAATATATTACATAAAAGATACAGATAACTATTAAACGTTAGAACTAATGAGCATAAATATTACTTAAAACCTACTTGCCTAGTTAAAAGTAGCGTGATGAGAATGTGGTAAGTACGAAAAAGTTTGCACATTTTAATGGATGCATCTTTTGTAACGAATTTTGAGATTGTCTGTGCTTGAGTGCTACAAATAGTGATAATGACGCTACTAAAAAACAATATCATGAAATCAACATATTATACTTAATATAAAAAGGTAATAAACATTAATAAAAATCGAATCTAGAGATCGTGCATATATTGGAAAAATTCTCACCATAGATGAATTATTTTAATGAAGATATTATGGTATTCTAGAAAATAGTAATATTATTCAGTTACGAATAGAACTTTCTTTAATGCCAAATATATTCAAGTAACGTAATGCGTAGTTTTCTAAAGGATTGGCTACATACACATACGTGAAATATCTATGCACTGATAAGGTAGGACAACTAGAAGTAAGACACTCATATGTAGATACAGGAAATATAGACTAACTATGCTAGTGGAAAAGAGGGGGAATGGGTACAAATGTTGTTTACCTTTACATTTATTCGTATTTTTATCCAATATTGCTTTTGTTGAAATAATGTTTCCGTACCTGAAAGCAAAAGTGTAGTTACTTACTATAACTGAGATACAGGAAAATAACGAGCAATATGTTGCACTTCTATAAAAACAATTGTCAAATCGTAAGTGTGGCATTAGAATTTGTTTTAAATCAATAACTCATTCGATTTATGTTTTATATATAAAATATTTTATAATAGATAAAATATTTTTATACGTGGTAGAGCCATGCTGCAGCTATATTAATTGTATAGTTGTAGCACGAATGTGTCGGCTCGACCGGGGAAGGACCACGCTATCACAGAATACCAGCGTAAATAGCAGCTTAATGCTGCTGTGTTTCGTATGGTGACTGTTGAGAACCGGATACCCTTTTTACTGGAAAAAAGGCATTCGCAAACGAAGATAGATGTAGATGTCTATGGGCTACAGCAACCACATACCATCAGATGGACTGTGTGCCCGCTTGTCACCCTTATGCTATAAAAAAAGCAATAGGCAAGCTACTTACATCTGGCACATCTGGACGAGGTCCTTGTCGGTGGTGTTCTGGCTGAGGCCACGGATGTAGAGGTTGGTGCGGCTCAGCTGCTCGCCGGCTGCGCCAGTGGTGGAGGCGGAGGACGCTGGCGGTGGAGGGGCGGTGCTAAGGCTGGTAGAGCGCGTCCCTCCCGCCGACCCTGTGTTGGACGAGGAGGAAGAAGCCGTGTTGGCTGGTGACGCGGCGGTCGGTACGCGCGCACCAGTAGCACCGCACCCGCCGCTCATCGCCGCGCCCGTGTACTGTAAATACAAGCCCTACATCACGCTATACGTCATGCTTTCAACAAATTTCGAATAGACACAAAAGGCTTATGCAGGAATAAATAATAACGTTCAGTAGTTAGTTATATAATAACCATTTAGAATTCTCCACTTAATTTTTGGATAGGCCAAAAGTTACATTTAGTTATTATAGCCATTTAGTTTACACCAGGCGTAAAATATTCAGACCGGCGATGTGCAGGAGAAGGAGGAGGTCGTCTGATACTCCTTAATCCGTCTTATCCCTATAACGTGAGATGCCCATGTCCAACAGTGGAATTTAACGGACTCATTGACTCTGAAAGTGTTTGATGAACATGTTTCAGTTTCTGATCAAGTCCCTAATAGTGATTGCGATTAGTTTCCAAAAGTGAGTTTTATTTTTTTAATGGAATTTAATAATAGATCGATTAGATTTTCCATAATATACAAACAATACCTATAGGAAGTATCGTATACATGATATTAAAATATATACTGCTTGTATGATCGCCCATTCAGAACATGTTAACCTATTTCTATCAGATAATATATTCCTGGTAAAAATTAGTCGTAATTAATTAAGTACATATCAAACAGTTGTTCACGGGCCACTAATTGATCAATATTTAAGGTAGGAAAGAGTATGATGTGCTGCCCCCTATGAGTATTGGCAGAACTCACACGTTTTTACGTGGTAGATTCATGCTGCAGCTATATTAGTAGTATAGTTGTAGCACGAATGGGTCGGCTCGACCGGGGAAGGACCACGCTCTCATAGAATACCACCGTAAAATAGCAGATTAACACTGCTGTGTTTCGTATGGTGAGTGTAGAGAACCGGAGACCCTTTTGCTGGAAAAAAGGCATTCCATCTTAGTTCTCACGTGTGACAAACGCATCTGCATTTTGATTCGCAAACGAGGATAGATGTAGATGTCTATGGACTACAGCAACCACTTACCATTAGGTGGACTGTGTGCTCGTTTGCCATCCTGTTCTATAAAAAAATATGTCTTCAAAATTTTTATAATTCCTCAGGCATGCAGGATCCTTCGCTATATTTTGCTTTTCCGCCGAGCACATTGTAAATTAATGCTTAAAATTACAGTTTATAATGCTTGTAGAAATCGAAGCTCATCATATACGAGTACATAATATTAGACATCTCGCACCTTAGACGTTGCTTTCCGTCATCTGTATCATATTTATTTTATAATCTATACAAATAAATAAAATTAAAGTGTCTGTTTGTAATGTAACAAAAATACATTCTTAAATTTTTTGTCTGTCTGCCTGTATGTTCCGGCTAATCTCCTAAACGGCTGGATTGATTTTGACGGGACTTTCTTTGGCAGATAGCTGATGTCATAAGGAGTAACTTAGGCTATTTTATTTTAGAAAACGAATTAGGGTTCCGCGCAAAAAAAAAAAACCAAAATAACACGCGGGCGTAGTCGCGGGGAACAGCTAGTATGTCACAAAGTGAAGTGAACTTCTACTTCTTCGTTAGCCCGTAAATGTCCACAGTTTTTTATTATGTATTAGCAGCTGTACAGGTCTAGAGAGACCAGTATGACTGGGACCTAAAAGATCTATTGTGATCGCTGCTATGTCTACAGTTCCCTGCTAAGCCCTACGTCCTAAATGAATAGAAGGAGTTGCTTAGCTGTCCATTGTTGGACATGGGCCCTCCCGTTGTAGGAATGATTTGTCTTTATCGTCACGCTTGGCAAACAAATTGGGGTCTTGAGGACCCTTGACACTGCTGCCCTTCGCCGGAGTTCTACCTAGAGTATTTACATATAACCACAGAATAAATAATAGTACTACGTAGTATAATATGAATGAGATGGTTATGTTTCCATCTAACAAAAGCCATGAGGCATTTTTTTGATTTTGAATTTACTATTACGACATACACGGGACGAAATTGGGTTATGGATTCTTTTAGCCGCCAAACACGAGAATTGTAATTGAGATTAAAAATGCGTTGCAGCGAGAATATGCCATATTTTCGCGTTGTTTATCAGAAAGTACACATTGCAAAAATTGCACATATGTAATTATTTATAGCTTTGGGATAAAAGCCAAAAGCCAACTTCAGTATGTTGGCAGTAGATTTAAAACGTAGTGATTAAGTAGTGCTTAGACCTTGGGTTTAAGCTCTTTGGGTTGAATTATTGAACCTCTTATAAATTACTAAGAGGCTTGTGTATGCAATAAAAATATGGTCCACTTTTTGTATTTTGTTTATAATCAATACTTTCAGCTAGTATTGTCTTTTTTACAATTATTATTAATTTTTCTTTTAGTGATTTTTTATATTTAGAATGCTTTGACCGTGGAGTTACTTAAGTTCTTGGTCCCGATTGAAAAGTGAAAACCAATGCTATCCTACAGACTTTTACAAAGATTCCTCTTTTTCACAATTAATAGAAAAAATATATGAATATGTATGTATGTATGTATGGTTATCTTGTTTTCTTTTCATGTTGTGTGTTTATTAAATAAATATAATACGAGTACGTTTCTTTCTTTCATTAAATATATAAACTTACTCAACTGTTCCTCCAAACAAAACTTTACATGCAAAAGGAATTTCCTTAGTACGATTCCAGACAGTTCAAGAAATAGATTTACTACTTATATATTTATTTTTCAATACTCATTTTTATTTATGTTAAAACTTTATTGCTATTATTTAATGCCCAATATAAGGTTATAAAGGACGCACTAAATTTCAGTCAAGAGTTAAGCCAATATTTTTGTAACGAACTTTCAAAACTCTTAGTCCATTATGTTTAACCGACGATAAAAAAACGGAGGAGGTTATTTAGTCAACGCGTATTTTTTTTATGGATGACCACGCATAACTTTTTACAGAGTAGTGCGATTTTGATAATCCTTTTTTTATTGGATAGGGTATAATATATCTCGAATCTGGTCCAATATAAATTTGATCAAGGACCGATAAATAGTTCTTGAGTTATCTTTAATAATATATATCTTGAAGTCAGTTGTATAAAATTTTAAATTATAAATTATATAATACGTGCTACGAAACTACACCACGCTCAAGACGCTTAATCTTCCTTAGTAAACACAGTCAGTATAAACTGACATTGAATCAACCGTCTCCACAACTCCAAGTGATATTAATATTACGTGAGCTTCCGTTCCATGTTCGCGGGAGAGTAGGCGACTTCATTGAAAATAACTGCTCTCTGAGACGTGCAAGACGCCAGCCATTAGTTATTTAGCCAACGGGTAATAAATAGGGTGGAGTACTAATGAGCGAATGCCGATTCAGAGCACGCTTGCTTAATCGAGTCGCGTTTGCCGTATATGCTGGTTGTGCCTTACACGAACGTAGTCAGAGGAAGGGAACTGTATAGGTAGCACGTGGTCCGGGCTCGTCATTTATGGCCAGACAGTTAGTTTAGCCTAACGAGTAACGAGTCGACGATCGTACGATGAATCGGGAATGGCCTTTGGCTGGCCAAACAAGTTTGCAGCCAATTCATAAGAAATGTTTACAAGTTACGAGTACAAAGTGATTGTTTTTATCAATCTAAGAAATGTTTACAAGTTACGAATACAAAGTGAATGTTTTTGTGAATCAATGAACACACGATTCACGTAGAGTAAAAACTTAAGACGAAGTTAAATACTTTGTGGAGCAATTAATAAGCTCCTCCTTTTATGAGGTGTGAATAAAATTACAAACAAGAATATTTTCTTCCACAACTTTTCTTGCACATAGACCCTACTGACTGCAGATTAGTCTCTAGCGACCAATTGATGACGAAAAAACAATCGGAAAATACCGAAGTCAAATCAAACAGACGTGTGGTGGAGAGCAGCCGAGAGGTTATGAAAATCTGGTGGGAATCAATCCGCAATTGCATTATGACCTTTATTGTAACACTTTGTAACCTAAAATATTTAATATAAAAATTTCATCTGCTTTTAATCCATGCTGAAACATTTACACCAAAAGTTAAACTTCAAAACCAGCGTTATAATATAGCATTGCAGAATTCTAGATGCGAGGGACGCCTATGCGCTAATGCAAATATAATTTGTATTATAATTAAAGTAATAATCCTTGAATTAACCTTTGATCATATCTATTTATGTCATTGCAATTTTTATGGATCCCAAATGAATAGCTCTCACCTTACAACTATCTTCAGTTTCACTACTATATATACAGAGGTTCAATGTACAAAACTTCCAAAGCAGTAAATTAACTCCGGATAAATATTCCATTAAAATACTTCGAGTCTGCAAAGGAGTTCTAGTAACGCCACATACGATCAATGTACGTGTCTTTATTCAAGTTCTTACTAGAAAATACTCGCAGCCTACATCTCCAATGTGAGCGTGTGTTTTGTTTGAAGAAAATTTATTGTTATTCTAATATTATAGGTATACATGGTGTTGTTATTCGCATTTAGTTAACCCATTAAAGACAAAAGGTGCAAGTTGATGACATAATATTACGAGTATTATGTACTCATCGAGATACAACGTGCGTGTACATAGGAAATGACATAAGGTCTATAAACTGTGACAATACATCTATTTTTTAATTTTACACGCTTTAAATATAATGGAATTTTGTAATTCAGTTTTCACCCATCACCAGACGTCTGAATAATCTAAAATTTGAAAGCCGTATTAAGAACTGATGACAATACAATAATTTCATAACTATAATCTAGTATTCTCACTAGGATCATCGAAACTCAAAATGAATGTGTGCTGTTTAATTTTTTTTTCAAACTTTAAATAAATGTTTATCGACTGTTCGTGGATTCCTTTGACTGGTGCTGTTAGAAAAGCAGCGCTGCGTAAATAATCTCGTAGCACAATGCCAAGTCGGTAGCCATTTCGTTGCTGTAATGCATTACTTATAAAATGTCTCTTCCCCAAATATTTCATTTTGCTTTTTTTTTCTTACTGAGAGTTTAAAAGACTCATAAGTACTATTA